AGTTCACGGGTAGTTTGTTAAAATCACAATTATAATGGTAAAGCGAGTTATGAATAATGTTTTTTACCAAATGAATTATGTTACGAGTTGATTCTTCATAAAATATATTGTAAGTATGTAATTTTTATGTATATTCCTACTTCTACTACAGAAATGGTCAATTGAATAATTTGTCGATAAAGATTATTTCATGCTGTTAAATTTTTATTGTTATTTAATTTGTATCAAAACTCAATATATTATTATTTACTCGCTTTTTCGTTTATTATTTTATTTAAACTTATTATACAAATATATAATTCACCGTAATCGAATGCATTGCAATAAAATTAAAATATAACATATTCTAATCAATTAAAAATTATATATATATATATAATTATTTCCCCCGCGCTGTAGTGCGGGTCCGAACCTAGTTGGTTTTTTAATTTTTATGTCTTACTTAATTAGCAGATAATATAGAAAAAAACAAGTTCACCTATGCAAGCACCATTTATATATAGAAAAATAAGCTTAAAATAGTTAAGGTAAAAAATTTAGGTTATGTACCTTTCCACACAACCTACAAGTCTTGTAATATCAGGAATGGTCAAGTAGTGATCACAAGCGTCATCTATAATGGTAAGGAGATAGTTAAACTTAGCGGCAATGACCCGTCCACCTGAAAACTGTGGTTCGTAATACATCATCAATCCTGCTAGCCAAGCCTCCACGATCCTCTCTCTAAATTGACTTGGCCACTTAGATGTTAGGTCTAGCTCTATCCACCATCTTTAAAAACAGGCGAAAAAAAAAAAAAAAACAGAAAAGGGATTATTCAAGATTAATAGAGTTGTTAAAGTTAACAAAAGTAGATAATGGCTGTACTATGATCGGGAAAACGGGGAAAATCAACCCAAACTATTCCCCGAAGGCATTTTCATACCCAAACTCGCGTACTCTGAATTTTACAACCCAAACCAGCTTTCAATTCAAATAACCAACCTGAACCACAATAATTTTGGTCGATTTCAACCTCGACGTTAACAATATCCCTGCCCATCTTGAAGATTTGGACAATCAAGTTTAAGTTTCTGTAAAAACCAAGATGGGCAGGGATACTGTTAACGTCGAGGTTGAAATCAACCAAAATTAATGTGGTTCAGGTTGGTTATTTGAATTAAAAGCTGGTTTGGGTTGTAAAATTCATAGTACGCGAGTTTGGGTATGAAAATGCTTTCGGGGAATAGTTTGGGATGATTTTCCCCGTTTTCCCTACTATGATCCTACTTGATAAACGTTTTGAGTTCTTTGATGTAATGCAGCTGCAATAACTTGAAATTGAGCTTGGCTAATCTGAGTAGCGTCTTATCATGATCTTTTTCTTGTTCGTAGAAGGAAATGTACTCTCTAGCAATTAGTGCTTCCATATTCCAACGTTGAGGTAGATAAAGCATGTTTCTTATAAGCTTTGTGATATGAGGTTGGCATGTTCCACCTGCCAATAGAGACTTCAAATGGTTTGATGTGAACTTCAATGCTTCGTCCAATACATAGTCTTTCGTTGTTCCCAAGTGAGCAGCTTCATACAAGTTCATTATACCTTTGGTATCTCCTATAAGAGATTTCTCAAACTTCCCATCATCCCCTATAAATCTCTTGAATACATCTACATGCGGAAGAGATCACTAAAAAGTCTATAAAGGATGTGAAAGACTACAAATCAATTAATAGTTTTCAACTTCTATAAAGGATTCAATACACCCCTTTAGTTTTCAACACTCTATCAAAATTTTAATATACCAATAAAGAGTTGGACTTTTTTTTTAAATTTTTTGTAAATTTTCTGATCTTATTATAAAGGTATATTGAATTTCCTTTTGTTATTTTCCATCTTGTAACATTACATTTGTTGTTTATTGATTTTTTGTATATTATATAAGTTTTTATTTATATGTTCCCTCTTCTCTATTATCCACTTTATTTATTTTTTAGAGTGAAATTTCTTTGTTAAGTTATTAGCAGTTTGTCTAATTCGTTTTTGTATTAAAAATTTAATTTTTAAAAATATTTAATCGCATTAAAGTAATATTTTAAATTATTAATTGCTGAATTTCATTTTGGTTGTTTATTATTAGATATTTAAGTCTTTATCTTTGTTTCCCTTTTTCTTTATTATTGATAAATAGAAACATAAAAAGTTTGAAAATAGTAAATTTTGTAACATGATTTTTTCATTAATGGCCTATATAGTTATTGTTTATGATAATTAAGGTAAGGTGTATAATCTACATATTAGGAATATTTGCTAATGTAACGGTGATGGACTTAAGGCAACAAAGTGGGCTTCCATGATGACTTAATGGGCTACAAACCATTGATTGTAGATTTGATAGTCTATTAGTCTATTACCCATTTCGTGTGAAACCAATTTCAGCATAGAAACCAGGTTGTGTTAAAAAAATTTTTGACCCGGTTGGTTTGTTTAAAAGACAAAGTTAACCTTAATGATTTGTCTTTGCTAATGTTTTATAGTTTGGTTTTTTTGGAAGAAAGGTTGCCAAAAACAATTTTTGGTCAAAAAATGTCTCCAAAAATGTTAAGATAGATTTATTGTATATATTTGACGTTAGAAGTGATTTAAAATACAAAAATAGTAAGCATTAGAAAAATTTAGCTTACTTGATGATAAATTGTGTCCGTATGTTCTAAAAACGCAGAACATGATCGAAACTGTAGACAAGTCCCTTTCATCACCAAACATATCTTCAATCCTTTGAAAAACATCTTCTAGTATATTTTCAATCTCATTTTCAAAATGAAAAGCAAGACCAAGGCTAAGAAGCAATTGGATCAAAAGCACTTTGCTCTTGGATGTTTCATTGTCACCTTGGGAAGATAAGAGCTCCCTAACTTCAGGCTTGAGTATGTCAATCTCTCTTGTAATCGCGTCAAGTTCCTATATAGCCGAAAACAAATTTCATGTAAACTCTTACTTAAATCTTTTCTTTTATCGGCTAACTTATATATAAAGGTATACACATTTCAATAAAAGCACGAAAAATAGTTTATTATATATTACAACTATAATTGTATTGCCTCACCGAATCATCAATGGGAAAAGAGACGAAGTAATCAGTCCATTGAGAGTGAGACAACTTTTTGAACGCAAGACTTTCATTATCGACCGTTGTTTGGACTTCCATAGTGGTTTGAAAGACAAAGAGAAACAAAGTTAGAGAGTTGTAGCTAGGTGAGGAGTGTAGTGTAGGTAAAACCACAATATATATATATATATACTAATGAAACAATGTTTATTAAATATTTCATCAAAATCACCTGATTAACAAAGTAACAACTAACAAGTGGAATTATATCCAAAAAAAAACAAAAGAAAACAAGATTTGTTAGACAGATTTGTTAAACAAAAAAATACGCGTAATAGTTACTGTTTCTAATCAAAAGCTTGTGTTGCTGTTTTCACTGGTAATTTTAGATTTCAAGAATTTTGGTCGCTGTAACAGAAATTAAAAGAAACGATGAAGAAGTAAAAGAAATATGAAAGTAATCATGTGATGAATAGTCGCAACGACTGCGACTAACTACCGAACATGCCTATATACCAAATTATATGGAGAAAAATTAATAGTTTGACAAAAGATACAGTAGTGGTGTATAAGTCATTTTTTATAGTAAAATAGAGTAATGCCAAACAGTTATTTTATTTGTAATGTTGACAACTTAGTTCATTAATTTTAAATAGAATGTGCTATAACACAACTTAGTTCATTACTTTTAAATAGAATGTGTTATAACACAATCAAGCACACCCTTCTTGGACTACCGCTTTGAGGTATAACATGAAACCTTAAGGATAAATCTCTATTAGTAACTAAACTCCTTATGAGTCTAGATTTAACCAAGATAACCTAACCTTGTGTTAAACTCCCTCTGAGCCTAGACTTCAATACCCCAAGTCTCTGGAGCAACCTTCACAAATACGTCACACCACGAAAGGGTGAAAAGAACCCCCATCGGGGAGTGAGCGACGAACAAAGAACTTGATCACACAAGCACCAAACCGCGAAACTATGTCGCACACAAAACCAGAAATCTCTCAAAGATTATTCTTTGTGCTTCAGCTCTTTTGCTCCTCTAGGACGTGTTCAACACCTCTATATATAGCAAACATGATTTCCAAATCACATAAGATAATTTTCCAAATATCATGAGGAAAAACTTTTTTCCTTTTTTCTCTTTTCCTTTATCTTGTCAAGCTCCAATTCTCCTAAACTTAGAATAGTTATTTTTCTCTTTCATTCATCCTCCAATCATTTGTTATTAAGTCTTCTAGAACCTAAACACAGACAAACATAAAGCATCAACATCGTGAATCACATCTTGTATCAAACAGCCACTACATCAGACAAAATCCTTGCATCTAAAAAGCATAAGATAAGTGTACTTTAGTGACATAGGTAACCAAATCATCGATTCATTTAAACTTTTTCACAAACTAGGGTCTCACTACTTGACCAGATTTATTAATTTAACGTTTAATAGCGACGTACAAACAATGCATACATTGTTTACTTATATGTTTAGTAAATGACTGAATCTTACAATTGTTTTCACTAATTGTTTTCTCTATCTAGTAGGAGGAATAACCTACCTAAACTTGTTCATTTTGGTTTTGAGCAGCAACTCTAAATAAATGTTTTCTACTTAATTTTAAAATATCTCTCACTCTAATTGACATTAAAAAAAACTATGGGATGCATGGTATACTAGTTATTCATGTTTTCATGTTTTGGAAAAGTGATATCATTATATACATTAGTATTGTGTTAACACTACAACTTAAAAAAAAAAAAAAAATCTACTAAAATTAGCTTTCCGGCATGTTTATTCTACACAAGTTATCCATGCCACTAATTAAGAGTTCTTTAGTTTTACATTTATTCTGATAATTTCGGAAAATATTAGTTAGACCTCATATGCTAGAAAAGAATTTGCCACTATACCAAATTGGCAAATTATATGGACTAATATGAATTCAATATAAAAATTTATTTCTTACAGAATATTAATATTTTGGGAAGAATATTAAAGCAAAGTAGTAGTTAAGATTTCTCTAGCTAAGTCAATGTTTAATAGCAAAGTATTGTAATGCTACATCATTTAAGATTAATTATATCATCAATTAACATGTGTTTTCCATTAAATAGATAAAAGATATATTTAAACATATTTTTTTTGGTTGTATATTCCACTTCCATTATTGTTTAACTTTTATAATAATGATATCCATATGGTGGGAAATACATCACAATTACAAATATATATATATACTATCACGCCAAAGAATGAAATACATCATAAACACAAAACCTTAGATCAATTACCCCTATTATCATGATCCTCATCATGTATTTTGACATATCTAATTTATTATCACATAATGATCATATGAATATATAACTTTCAAATAATAATCTGAAGAACCTGAGTGGATATATACATCACTAATAAGTTTGATAACACATTATATCTAATGGTGAGTAATGGTGAGTATATCCTAATGGTAACACATATAACTACATTACAGTTGTGGCAGATGTATCAACTCCTTAAAATAACTTATACAACTATAAAACAAATAAACCACTATACCATATTATATATAAAAATTTAGTCAAATTAAAAACTAAAGTCATTAAAATATAAATGCTATTATGATATTTAATATTTATGCTCGTGCCAAAAATAAATATAAAAATCTTTGTTAATATTAATTCTTCTAGAAAAATAATAGGCACCACATCAAGTAATTGTCACTTTCTAACTCTAATGGGGGCATACATCTGTTTTTAAATATAATTAACATGTCATTAAACCGAGTAATGACACATTCAAGCAAGAAAATTATATTATTAATTTGTATAACTTTCGTCTTACCATTTTATAAAACAGTTAGATACAATGTCAATTTCAACTTGAACAAACATTTTTTCTCAAACTATGTAACCTACCAGATTTTATTTGAAATTAATATCGACCGAATTAGTGTAGTCATCAAAGGTATATAATAAAATGTTTATTTAGTAGTTTTGTTTTCTAATTGCATTCAAACCGTGTTATCATTGGAAAATATGATGTAATGACATCGCACCCGAATCACCTCATTCATATTTCTAACTAATCACATCGCTCTCATACTCAAATTGTAATCACACTCAAATCGGAATGCCATTCGGGCCCTAGTCAAATACCATATTTTAGTCGGATGTAACATAAAAAAAAAACTACTAAGTTAGAAGTAACATATAACAAAAGTCTTATTGCAGATTCTTAAATTAGGCTCTATATATATTTAGATTAGGTTATCAAGTCACCAACTTTTCCAATTCTACCCTCCATTTCTAAAAACTGCAAATTAATCATTCCAAGTAAGAAGACAACCCTGGTGGGCCAAGGAGGAACACCATGTGGCAGAGTGTCCCACGGGGCGGATTGTTGCAGTATTTTCTACTTTATTTTACAGACATGTACGTCCATTTTAACAATTCTAAAAATATATTTGAAATTCTTACCATGAGGACTTTAACTTGATGTATTATTATCAAATACTTACAAATTTAATTTGACGGTAACAAAAATGTGTTATATTACGTATTTCTTGACGTCGCAAAATTAACTTATATTTTTTTGGATTTGAAAGATAAAGTTGTAAGAAATAGAAATTTATAAAATTTATTTGCAAAAGACCCTTTAGATATATTAACCAAAACATTTTGCGTGTAAAATGATTGTTATACTACTGTATATTCTCGTGTGCATAGTAAAATAGTACGTTTGGAATCTGGGATCCAAAACTCTATAAATTACAAAGTAGACAGGAAGAGGAAATGCACAAATTCACAAATAACAAATACATTTACCAAACACTTATATGAGAAATTTAAATTGAAATGGTAATGATATTAATCACTTTGTGTTTAACTACCATCCTTGCACTTCTCCTAAAATACATCCTCCAAAGAACCTCCACAAACAAGTTTAACCTACCACCATCCCCATGGCGACTTCCGGTGATCGGAAACCTCCATCAGCTCAGCCTCAATACTCACCGCTCTCTTCGTTCTTTGAGTCTCCGATATGGACCACTCATGCTCCTTCATTTCGGCCGTACACCAGTCCTCATAGTCTCCTCCGCTGAGGTTGCTCATGAAGTCATGAAGACACATGATCTTGTTTGTGCAAACCGCCCAAAAACAAAAGTGGTCGATAAAATTCTGAGTGGTGGGAGAGATGTGGCTTTTGCTCCTTATGGAGAATATTGGAGACAAATGAAGGTAGTTAAAATAACAACTAGTGTTTTGTTTTCATTCATAACTATGGTTTGGTAGCTCACTAAGTCATTTTAACATGTTAAAATGTTTTTACTCCTATTATAAAACAAAGAGATTAGTGTTTCAAGAATACTTAATGTAAAAAAAGGAGAGTAGTAGTAACAAAATATTTTGAATTTTGTGTTGGATGTAGAGTATATGCATCCAAAATCTACTCAACAACAAAATGGTTAGGTCTTATGAGAAGATAAGAGAAGAAGAGATTAAACTAATGATCGAAAAGTTGAAAAAAGCAAGTTGTTCATCTTCATCCTCACCGGTAAATCTAAGCCAACTCTTAATGACTTTGACAAATGATATAATATGTAGAGCTGCCTTGGGAAGAAAATATAGTAGCAAGAAAGATAAGATTGATGTAGAGAACATAGTGAGGACATTTGCTGCACTCTTAGGTGAGTTTCCTATTGGAGAATACATTCCTAGTTTGTCTTGGATCGATAAGATGCGCGGTCTTGATCATAAAATGGAGGAAGTAGATAAAAGGTTTGATGAATTTTTGGAAAGAGTTGTTAAAGAACATGAAGAAGCAAATAAAGAGACCAGATCCGACTTGGTTGATAAGTTGCTAATGATTCAAAGCGATAAGACGGGACAATTCGAGCTTGAGAAAAGTGCCTTAAAACTTATCATATGGGTAAGTATTATAACTAGTTATTAGGCGTGCTTCTATATTAGCTTTAACATGTTGACATTTTACTTGTTTTTATCCTTAGGATATGTTCTTAGCTGGAACGGCAACAACTCTATCATTTCTTGAATGGACAATGACAGAGCTTATGAGACATCCAAAGGCCATGAAGAAACTTCAAGAAGAGGTTCGTTCAAAGTCACCACAAGATTTATTTATAACGGAGAAAGAAGCTGAGAAGATGAATTATTTACAAGCTGTTATTAAGGAGGCTTTACGGTTGCGTCCACCGGCTCCATTGTTGGTTCCACGAGTATTTAGCGAAAATGTCAAGTTAAAAGGATACAATGTTCCTTCAGGCACACAGGTTATAGTCAATGCTTGGGCAATCCAACGAGACACTATAACATGGGGGCAAGATGCTGAAGAGTTTAGGCCGGAAAGGCATTTAGACTCGGATTTGGATTTTCAAGGACAAGATTTTAAGTTTATTCCGTTTGGATCGGGAAAAAGAATATGTCCCGGAATAGGATTCACATCGGCGTTGATCGGGGTGACATTGGCCAACATTGTGAAACGGTTCAACTGGAGAATGGATGTCCAACCAGAAAGGGTTCAAGATGATCTAACTGAAGCAACCGGCCTTGTGATTTTCCGCAAATTCCCTCTTATGGCTATCCCATCTTCTGCTTGATTTCGAACCTATCTCTTTTAGCCTTATTCGTGAATAAAACATTGCAACTTTGCATGGTCTAAGTACATTCATAATATGATAAGACTTGTAATACAATTCTTGATTTAAGAGAAACTCTAGTTGTCTGAACTAACTCAAAATTTAAGTTATCTATGTTCAAAACATGCTGCTACTACTGAATCCTCTCGATGGAGATGGCAACCAACAGACTGGAATGCAAGAAACACAAATCCTATTAGAGTCTCAATTGGAGAGTACTACAAGGGTAAAGTTAGATGCTATGTGCATGGTCAACATGAAACAAGAAGATCAACTTCTCTTTAAGGGACCTTGGCTTTTATCGTGTTCGAGCTACACATCATGCACGAGACAACTCTTGTACTATTATATGGAATCACAACACATTTCTATTGCAATCCCAAATGCAAGACAACTAAACCATATTGTCTTTCGTGTTTGCTACATATCTCTCTTTTCTACGGACAAAACATAATTAAGAGACATAACTCAAATCCTGAGATCAAGTTATATAATGGCAAGACCAGTTTTCAAATAATCCAAGCAAGAGAAAGGCAAACGCAGGATTTGGTCAACTTCTAGTGAAGTCTTCATAAGACTGTTCATGACTTTACCATTAAGTCTTCCTTCTTTGCTCATCCCTCTACTCACCACCAGAGATACATTACATAGCCATGGCACATCACAAGCAAACACCATCCCATTCTTCTCATTCTCCATTAAACCCTTTTTATAAGCTCTACCAACCTTCCTAACATACTTCCCCGTTGTCACACCTTCGTTTGATCTGTCTATGTCAGAGATATCTGCATCAGAGTGAAGATTCACCACCATAGTCCCATGCTCATGGTGAAGTACTTTGCTCAGAGCTTTCATAAACACCGAACCAGAATCCCATAGAGTATGAGGAAAGATGTCAGCTCCATCATAAGCATCCATAAAGATCATGTCATAAGTGTTACATTGGTTCTTGAGAATGAACTCCTCAGCTTTTGATTCGTAGAGAAAGAGTCTCTCATGGATGCCTCTCCACATCACTTGGTCAATAACTTCCGGAGATTGTAACGCACGTTTCCCGGTTTCTGTCATGACAGAGAATGCAGGAAACCCCATTGCTCGAACCGACTCTGAGATAACGAGCGGGTCAAGCTCAACTATGTCAACAACAGCACCTAGAAGATAGATCAATAACACCATCCACATCAGTTTACATATGAATTCAGAGATATAGGTATAATGATTAGTACTTACCAAGAATGTGTTTAGCTAAAAACAACGGTAAACTTCCACCACCGTGACCGATGCATAATATGTGCATTTGTTTCTCCCCAATAGCTACACTCTTCATATCAAATTTAGAAGCTGTAAGAGATGTCAATCCAACTGACACCATGCTCTTCAGATCTGTCACCCAAAATAAATAAATAAAGAGTTCAGCTTAATAATAACATAGAGACCAACTCCACAAAACAACATCACAATGAACCTAAACACTTATACTTGGAAACACATGACTACCACAACTACTTAAAACACAATAAACAAGTCATGTTTCAAGAACAAACAAGTCAAGTTCCAAGAACAAGTTATGTTCTGTGTATCCATAAAACATAAGCATCTTAATGCATAAAACTAAACCAACATAGCTCTAAAAGTGAGACAAGGTAGCATATAATAAAAGAAAGGAATAAAGAAAATATCAATCTCACATGGAACAGCAAGACAATGTGGTTGTTGCATATAGAAAACAGAACTAGGTTGCAATGTTCTGTAAGCAGCCATGACTTTAACAGTGCTTTGTCGAGTATCATCGTTAAACCGAAGCGATCGCCATTGATATCCAAGTATCTTAAACATCTCATTCTTCTCTTCTCCATCTCTAGTCATTACTTCCATATACCTTTTCTCTAACCATCTCTCAGTTTCTCCCCATGAATCTCTACTCTACATAAGATTAAATCATTATAAACACTCTCCTAAATCAAGAAACAAAAACTAAGGTTTCAAGAAACAAAAACTAAGGTTCCAAGAAACAAAAACAGAGGTTCCAAGAAACAAAAACAGAGGTTTCAAGAAACAAAAACAGAGGTTTCAAGAAACAAAAACAGAGGTTTCAAGAATCTGATTTTAACTCACAGGGAGAGAAGAAGGATGAGCGACGACTGAAACGACGCCGTTTCCATTAACAGAGACAGCTCGTGAAACTGTGTGGCCGCCGTCGTGAGGATCCCACCATTCCGGCGAGTAAAACCAGTCTCCTTCGTCGTGTCCTCTGCAGAAATGGCGTACACATGACTCGATGGTGGTGCTTAGCCTTCTCCCACGCCGTGTTGTCAACGAGAAACGTTGAACTGAATTCATTTGTGAAGATGACTGAGAAGGCCAGAAGAACTTCGAGATCGCCGGAAAATTTTAAAGTGTGTCGGTGAAGGTTTGGGACTTCGACGGCGTTTCTTGTTACTGTAATGAAACCCTTAGAAAGTTTAGTTAACCAGGGTTTAATTTAAACGGTCCAATTGATTTGGTTGGGTGAATTGTTGTGAATTAATGAACCGAACCGAGATTTTAGTTGTTCGGTTTGATTTTGGTTATTGGTTATTAATTGATCGGTAATTCTGCGAAATTAGTTCGGTTAACTGACAATTTCGATTAGTTTGATTCGGTTCAGCTTAACCAAATTTGTTTAAATTTTTAATAACCAGATTATATCATTTTTATAAATAAAAAAACTAGACCAGTTTTCGTTAATAACCGAAGTAACGAAAAACCAAATTTTTTTTTTTTTGTCATCAAACAAAACTATCTTAATCTACTGAAATTAAGTATCAAACTGAGTCATCATATTTAACATTGTTTATTTCTTTTAATATCAAAAACACCATATTTTATTAAACAGATTTAAGTAGGCTAGCCTCATGAGCTAGCCATACCGAAACTTAAGAGCATATATGGAAAAAGTAGAACCTCGTGTTCGAACCGCTTTCTTTTTCTTGGTTCATGCTTGAACCGATTTCGCAAAGCTATCAACACGGACATTATTCGATCTAGAGGTGTAAACAGTAGAGTAACATTTGTTCACATGAAGACTGAAATTAATATCCACATATACGATTAAGTCTGCATATAGTATTGAGTTAATCACAGACAAGACTATTATTTTGATTATTTTGTTGTTTTTCTTTCACACAGTTACATGTATAAAATTAAAAAACGAGTTACAGAAATACAGATTTTTTTTACATAAGATTTGTTCCTGTACATATTTTTTTTTTTATTAGAAAAAGGAAAAAAAAAAAAACACCCATGAACTAGACTTGATCAAAGTTTAGTTCAAAATCCTGAAAATTCCAACTGTCTCTGTGTAAATTCCAAAGTTGTACGTATCACTTCGTTGTTTTACTAATCTTGAGAACTTTGAATTTTTGGATCTTATTTCTCTTATCCCAGTGCCTTCAAGTTTTAATTCTCCAATGGTCCTTACATTTTCTTGAAAATATTTGATCCCAGTGCAACCAGAGAGATCAAGAGAATGGAGATTCTCAAGCTCATCAGTGTCTGGTATGTTCTCCAAGTTTTTGCAGTCTTGAAGATCTATTTCCTCAAGGTAAGGTGCGTTTGAGAGTTCCACAACTTGAATTATTTTCTCACAGTGCCCAAGATTAATTTTCCTCAACCTCGAGAATCTCTGCAATCAAACAAAAGTGATCAATATCAGAAATCTATACCTTTGTGCTACCAAAGCAAAGGCAAAATACATTTTTATCACATCTTTATCTTTGAAAGGATGGAAAATAAAATTGTGAAGGACTAATAAGAATATTGAAATTAATACATATAATAAAGTAATGTTTCTTTTTGGCACGTTCAAAAAATCTGCTCGTCTTTCTCTTCTTACGACATACAGTAAAACCTCTATAAATTAATACTGTATAAATTAATAAACACTATAAATTAATAAATTTTGCTGGTCCCAAGTCGGGCCGGTGTAAAAATTGACGAAATTTGATAAGATAATAAGATAATAATTATTCTGACATCCCTATGTAAAATATAGTCCTAATAATATCATAAATTAATAATCACTCTATATATACATATAAGTAGATATATTAATATATGTTCTTAGTTTTTTTTTGTAAAAATAAATTTTCTCCTAGAGTTAGTATTTTATGCATGTTAGTATTTTTTTAAACAATAATCTTGTAATATATACCATCACAAGTCATAAAAATAACCAAATTTTCTTTATGCTTTCAATTTTTAAATATGCATCATATTATTGACAAAAAATAAATATGCATCATATTCACTTTTATATAGGATGTAAAAATATAAAATTGAGGTTATTAATATACATTTGAATTTATGTATATCATTTGTGTAAGTGAATTTATCTACAATATCTGTATTTATAGTCAAATTTTTTTTCCTAAATATAGTATTCACTTTCTAACTACTGTATAATTTATAAAATTTAAAAAATTAGTCTTATTTTGTAAAATTGTATCAATTCATAATTTTTTAAAATTTGAAAAACTATAAATACCACTATAAATTAATAATTATTAATTTACACTATAAAATAATAAATATTAATTTATAGATAAATTAATATCACTATAAATTAATAAAATATCTTGGTCCCAACATTATTAATTTATAGAGGTTTTACTGTATGTCATTTATTTTAAAATATTTGTAGTATTAAATTGATTCAATTGACTTTATATAATATACATAGTCTTATTATGTTTTTACCTAAAAAAAAAAATTTGAAATTATACATTATAAGAAGTTCATTATTTTATTTATTTAGTATAGCATATCTTCCAATATTAATTTTCTCCTTTACTTCTTTATTTGTAGAATTAATTAACATGACATGATTATTATATTATTTTGCAATTTGAATTTGATTATAAATAGTTTGATTATTAACCACAAAACTTATTTTAATGCTATTATTTCTCGGAAAAAAATAAGGGAAAATTAGGTGATTCGAGAATCGAGAGAGCATTCACGTAAAATTATATCTAAAAATATTCAATTAAATTTCATTAAATCTTTTTTTAATGATATGTTGTAATAATTTTTTCGATATGAGGTTATTAATATTTTGGCATGCATGTCTCCGTACGTGTTCTAAAGTGGTGAAGCTATTGTTAGTTTTTGTTGTTTCCCTTACCTTATATCCTTGCCAAAGTTTGTAAAATTGACAAGCAAGTCGTCGGAATAGAACAAGTTGCCTTCTGTGAAAATGTTGGAGTAGAACAAGTTGCCTTCTGTGAAAACGTTGGGGCAAAGATTGCACCTTCTTAGAGGGACGACGACCCACACAGGGACTCCTTAGGTCACTTACAGACTCAGCGACTTGGTTAGTAAGATCGAAATCTGTGTGATTCTTCACATCAAATATAATGTTTTGTGAGCCATGCAAGATAGTCTTCAAAACTATATCTCTTGAAATTTCAGTGGTCTGAAACACACAAAAGAGAAATCCAAACCAATTGATTAGGTCATTATCAAGATCCATACGTTATAAGGAAGTTTAAAGGGTATATATATATATATATGTTAGATCGATTGTAACGTACCATTGCTATGCCATATTCTTCATGTTCATCATCGTCTACAATATTGGAGTAGATGCACATAGATGTGTTCTTGTTTGTATTAACAAAAGCATCATTAGACGAAACCTCCTCCATATTATCGGTGTTCTTGCTTTTAACTTTCTCGGCATATGAGCGAAGAGCAAACGGGTTCCCTTTTAAACCTTCAATCTCAATCATTGGAAGATTCTTACCTATTGCATCTTTCCCATATAAACACCTTGTGAATAGTTTCATAGCATCTTTATCATTTAGACCGTTAAGCTCATAAATTTCACTGAGGCGGCACTCTTCAAGAACTTGTCTATCTCTTGAGGTTATGATGATCAAGCTCCCTGGACCAAACTGATCATTCCGCTCAAGAAAAGACATAGCGGATTTAGCATTTCTTGCATCATCTAGAACAATTAAAACCCTTTTTTGGCGATGGCATTGCTTAGAACCAGAATTGTTTAGGTCAAACTCTTCCACTAGAGTCGTAGAAAAGAATTCTTCATGCAAAGGCTCAAGTGTGTTCTCACTATGTTCTTTGTCGAAATCGTTCACAAAGCGAGAAACATCATAGTCTCTAACCATTTGGCGAAACACCGCTTTAACAAGTACTGTCTTGCCAATGCCAGGGTCACCTAAAATGCCTAGGGTTCGAAGGCCCCATCCTTGCTTGCATAGCAAGTTTTCTATATATAGTTGCTGCTTGGGGATCCCAATCTCTTCCGTAGGATAGAGTATCTCAAATACAGCTTCCACGATCACCTCCACAAATTTGGATTCTTCACTGAGATAATAAGAAGTTTTTTCAAGGTTAATAGTCGATGTAAAACAGAATTCACATATTCTTTTAAATTTGTCTTTTGCTTGGTTTTAAATTTTAATAATATTATCGTTGACAAAAATATAAAATTAAATCTCAGCTTTCTTTGTATATATATATTAACATTTTTGAAGTATCTTTTGGGTTATAACCTTTTATTTTAAAATATTTGCATAATTAAACTCTTGCCATTTGTATAAATAATAAAAAATTAAGGTAAATTATGTAATTAAATCATAATAAAATTGCAAAACTAGAAATCAATATTTATTACATTTAACAAAATTTCCTTAAATCACTCCCTTATAAATCAAATATGTCTCTAATATCTTTATATGATCTTATTTGTTTTTAAATTTATATTATTATATAAAACATATGTATAATAAAATATAATTATTTTTTCATATGTTACAATTTGAATTTTTGAAAACAAACGTATGTTTCTCAAACGATACAAAAATGGATGTACTAAAGTATTGTTTATAATTGTATAGTACGGGTGTGTCAAATGGGTAACCCAACCCGACCCGACCCAAACCCACATGGGTTTAAGGTTTTCGTGGGCGGGTTTAACCCGACCCATTTATTATAATAGGTTGAATATACTTACCCAAACCCAATAATAAAAAAAACTAGTGGCTAAATGGTTTATATGGGTTACCCATTTATAAATAAAATATACTAAATTAATAAATATGAAATTTATAATATATTATATAAAATATAATTATAAAACCAACAATAGTTTTTTTGTGATAAAAAACATCTAGGTATGATTAACAAGCGGGTTCAAATCTAGTTTGCTACTATAAAGCAAGCGTATAGAGATGTTTGATGCAACAACTTGAATAATGTCTGGTTCAAAAAATAAAATAAGAATTAAACAACCGGAATAATGTGTTTGCATGAAAATAACGACTTGATTGTTCTATAAAGCGTTATATGTGATGTAAAGCGTTTGAAATCTAAAGTTACCACGAAAAAGAAACTTCTTATATTATTAATAAACACCCCAAAACATTGTAATAAGAGCATCTCTATTGACAATACTAAAAAAACATATGTTAAACATATTTTATAAAATTCTTGACAAAAATAACATATTTAATAATAAATTTATTATTAGTTTAATGTAGTGTCTTAAAATGAGTATATTAATGTAGTTTCTATAGCCACCAATATAAAAAATAGGTGTCTACAATTTTTGTTGATTATTATTTTTTAGATTTCAAAGACATTCAAATTATCCTTCATTCTATTCATGAGGTGGTTTAAGAACACCAGCAGAGTTCTAAGACTATCTTTAATAGGGAGATCTTAAAAAAATGTTAGCGTAATTTGTTATTAAATAAAATACAAAAAATGGTTTAAAGAGTAAGATAGTATCTTAAATAAGATACAAAATCAAAGTGTCTTAATTTTTAACTCTACTTTTTTCAATACTAAATTTATTCATAAGATCCAAGCTTAAGATGATCTTAATAATGATGCTCTAAGAGCATGACAAGAGTAAAATATTCATATCTATCTAATATTATTTTTATTTATTTATTAAACGAATCATTGACAACAATGTGTAGAGATCATTTCTAAAGAGTCTCTCGAACCATTAACATAACTCACTCTCTCCTCAGTTTTTATTTTAAAATACAAAACACTCCTATACTGGGTGTCTAATACAATTAATTATGATATTTTATACAAAAATTATTTATTAGACACTTTAAGTTATTATAGAATTTTGACCCATACAATGAAGATACTCAATAAAGGTAGATAAAAAACATGTTAATAAACTTTAAAACACAATACATTTTTTTCTTTTTCTTTTTTCTTAACCCTTAAAATATATCTTATTTTAGACATTGATCTTATTAATTGGATCAATTTTTATAATAAACTTGATTATTATTCTATAAGAAAATGTTAAGACACATGAAATATCACCATTGTGTATGCTCTTAAAGAAAGTACAATGGTGATATTCTGAGTGTCTAAACATTAATTTTATAGAATAATAATATTGTTTATTCAAAATTTTAGGCCAATAATAAGATTCGTGTGTTAAATAGGATATGTTTTTGAGTTTAAGAACAGCTGATGTGGTAAATTATCATTGGTGAAAGGAAAAAAATGATAAACGAAAAAATAAATGAAAAATTCAATCGAGTCTCTCTCTTTTTGTCTCTCCCTGTTATCTTTTTTTTGTTATTCTTGATTTAATGGTTTTCAATTAGGGTAAGCAGAAGTTAAAAAAACAAAATATATATGTTTCTGCTTGGAATATATAGTTAACATATCTGAGGTTAAAAGTTTATCTACAAATAGATTAACATATATGTATTATGTTTTAAAAGTTTATTAATATAATTTTTATGTACATTTTTTTAAAAACACCTCATTGAGTGTTTCTATTGGATGGGTCAAATTTTATATGAACTTAAGAGTATCTAAAAAATTACTTTTGCATAAAATATTATAATTAATTGTTTTAGGGTGTCACCATTGAATATGCTCAATGGAACTGCTTTAAAGTCGTTATAAAAAAAATCATTATATAATAATATAGGTACAACCCATCTTTATCAATGATATTTGTATGAGTGTCTAAAACAATTTTAAAAAACTAGTTTTATATTAGTTAAATGAAAGTGTCTAAAAAAGTTAACTAAAGATCAGACATATCGCTTCACCAACTAAGAACGGCCATACACCACCACCCATAGAATCAAGAAAGAGTGTCTTAAATTATATATATATATATATATATTTATTTTTTATTTATTTTTTGTTTAAAAGACACCCAATAATTTTACAAAATATGTGGGATAGGGACACCCAATAGTCTTATAAATTATATTTCTTTCGAACGCTCAATCGTGAAATTATCTCTATACGTTTTCCCGTTGGACATCCTCCTAAGCAAAAATTTAAATTAGGGGTTATTATTATATACGCGTACCTTAATTTCGCGTCATACTCATGGCCTTTTATTTCGGCTATTTCCGCTAGGGCACATCGCCACTTATTCACCTGATCTGCAGAATAAGAACCTTCGAGCTTTTTGAATGCATCACTTAACGTCCCCGATTGTTGCTTCACGGTCGATCTGCTTATGCCATAGAACACCGGAACCAACTCATAGTTCTTGTCACGGTGCTCGACAAGGTTCTCTAGGCATGGCACAGAAGATGCGTAGTCCATAGTGATAATCACTAGAAGAAGTTCGAACCCTAAAACCAGCTTGACTCCTTTGCTTACGAAAGCCGCGGTGAGGTGGCTGATGAAGGAAGAGACTGATGAGTCATTTTTGTTGTAGATCATGTTGTCGAAGTGCTTGGTTCCTTTGTTTGTATTCATGTTTGAGTTGTTTGGAGTATTGCGAATTAACAACGTTACCATGTCGTTATATAAATCAAATCATTAATCAAACAGCCTTCGTAGACGTTTCTGCAAATCATTAAAAAGTATGGATGAAATTGTAAACGCATGAGACGTGCTAGTAGTTGCTACCCAATTCCAGTTGACCAGTTCTGGTTTAATTAAATTTATTAATTTTATCGGTTCTATTTGGTTGGTTCGTTGATTTTATCGGTTCTGTTTGGTTTTTCATTGAGAGAATTGAAGAACCGAAACTATGGGCTATGGTGTTGTAGAAACTGTAGAGAATCAAATTGTTTTTCCTCCGTCCGGGAACGAATCATTTTTTTTAAATAATTTTGGATTAAACTTAGGAGAAATTTCAAAAATACCCCTTTTCTAACACCACTTTTTAAAAATACCCATCTTTCTAATTTTATCAAAAAGTCACAATAAAAATTGAAATTTATCAAAAAAATAAGTATAAACTTATATTTATAGACACAAATTATCTTTACATGTGTGTAAATTTATATATATATTTCATAAGTACTGTATAAATACCTTTTAAAAATCATATAAAAAGCTTATAAAAACTGTGTAAACCTTTTAAAAACCTTATAAAAACCATATAAATGCCGTTTAGAACCTTTTAAAACCTTCTAAATATTTGGATTTAGTCTTCCAGTAGTAATGATGATCTTGATGTACCTTATCAACCATATAAAAGTTTATAATTTTTCATATTTGAAAAAGGGTATTTTTGAAAATGAATAGAAAATAGGGGTATTTTTAAAAATGGGTACACCAAAAAGGGTATTTCTCAAAAATTCTCTTAAACTTACAGCAAAAAAATAAAATGAAGGCAATGCCATTTTTTCAATAGCAACAAATTGAAAATGGGAAATATCCCAAAAAATACGCCATTTAATTTTATTTTGACAGTTTAATACTTGTATTATTAAATTTGGAACAAAAATACGTGGTTTAATTTTGACAGTTAACAGACGTTAACGCTGGTTACGGAATCGTTAAACGCGGTTAGAAGTTAACCTCACATGGTTAATTAGTCTAAACGAAAGACACTGTTACCCTTTCACTTTTCCCCCAAATCAATTTGAGATTTTTTTGAATCCTAAAAGCGATTTTGCTTCTCTTCCATTTGTAATCCTTAATTCCGACGAATGCGATGATTGTGGGCGTTTGATTAGCTGCGGGTCTGTGTAATTGTGTGGTCTGTTGAAGGCGTTAACTTGATTACAGAGAGATGAGGTATGTCGATTCAATTTCCTCAGTTTAGGGTTCGTAATTTTCTAGGTTTGAGATGTATTTTATTGGATCCCGATTTTGATTTCGTCTAGTTTTGTTCAATTTTTCTGGGTTGGCGATGGATATATACTGGCTAATCACTTGATTATTTAAATTTTCAGTGGTTTCGAGCATATAAAACTCAATATTAACTCCAGAGGAGATGTTTCGTTGAAGGATGGGTCCTTCCTCTATATTTGAGGAATAGAGTGTAAAGATATGTCGATTGATCCAGACTTGATGACGTGGTCAATCTTCGACGAGTTCTGCTCATAGAAAGGAGTATCGGGGGCAGTAGAACAAGTCTGGTACAAGCTTCCAGAAGAAGACATGTATGTCGCGAGAGTTATCAAAGAAGATAAAGATAGTGGGATTAGGCAGTTGTGTAGTGAAGCTATGAGTCGTGGTGAAGTCGACATCTACATTCAGCAAGCTGTGTCTCAACCCTCCATTTCCTCTGTCTCAGCCTGGTGAAGAGTTTAATGTTGAAGTTGATGCAGGGTCTGATGAAGAGATTGAAGGAGATAAAGCTGGTGAGGTTCATGAGGAGCAAGTTGGACAGGATATTGGAGAAGATCCAATAGAAGAAGTTGTTGGAGGTCAGGATGATCCACTATTTAGGGCTTTTTACGAAGAAATTAATAGAGATTCTGAGCTTGGAGGGGATTGTAATCAAGCTGGGGAAGAAGCTGCTGGTCAAGATACATACCAAGCTGAGGAAGAAGCTGCTGCTCATGATACATATCAAGTGGAAGAGGATGAAGAATTTGAGAGGCAATGCATGGATGCTAAGCGTCCTGAACCTGCTATGGACACAGATGATGAATGGGATGCTTTTGACCATCGTTAAGGGCTGTTAACTTGAACGTATAGATTTACCAACATTCATAAAACGAAGTTTTTTGTTACAACAAAAATTAAACCAACTATTTTTATTCCAAATTTAATAGTGCAGGTATTAAACGGCCACAATAAAATCAAATGGCGTATTTTTCGGGTTTTTCCCAATTGAAAATGCCACCAAAGGTTTTGTCTTTCCATAAAAAAATGTTTACGTTTTTCGTTGTAATCTTTCGTTAGTATCTTTTCGTTGTAAGTTTTTATTTGAGTTTTTCCGTTGTAATTTTTTCGTATGCTTCTTTTCGTCGTACCCTTTTAAAATGATTTAAAAATAAATAAAAAAGAGAGTATTTTTGAAAATGGACAATAAGAGAGTTTTTTTTCAAAAATGTATAATACTATTTTTCCGTACTTTTTTGTAAAATACATTTTTATATTCATTTTAGAAAACTATAAAATATCATCTATTGTTGTGTCATTTCATTGTAACGTCTTTTTTTAATGGCTTACACTCACCCTTCTAAGCCTTATTTTTGTGGCTTCGAAGTTTACAATTGTATATCAATATTCTAGGAGTGCTAATGAGACTCGTGGCCAACCCTAGAATATTTATACTAAACCCGAGAAACCCTAGCAGGCGAATCTCCGAGAATCACGCTTTTGGGAATAGCTTGCTTGTCAAGTTTATCCCTTTCCTTATTGTTGTGAAGGATATTCTCCATATATTCACACCCAATGCGTTTCTATCTTCGTTGCCAAGTCAGCAAACCTCCTTGGCGCATCGCTTCATCCACTTGTGCTTTGCCACGTCATCTTACGCATCCATGGCAGCAGCTCAAGCGTCTGCTGTGATCTTAGTCGCCTGATGTATTCTCAGGCGTCTGAACAAATGCAGCTTCTTGATCCAAACAACGAGTTGTTCTAGAACTGCATCTACAATCTCCCCTTTTTGACTTAGTTTGATACTCAAGCATCCTTCTGGTTAAACCTGAAAAGATACTCCAACAAACATAAGCAAAAAAAAAAACAGTACAAGCAACAACTAGACAAAACACAATCATTATCTAGCATAATCAGTCAGCAGTTTGTTCAAACAGAACTATGTTTAAGAACCTAAAAGTCGGAAACCACCATGTTCTTAATAGTTCTCTGAAAACATACTCAATTAATTGGCATATTCTCAATCACTAATTCAAATGATATCGAAACCAGATCATCTCCCTTTGCTTGAGTGAACAACTAAGGCAAAAACAAACAGTTATATCACATCAGTATGCAGAGTCATGGAATCCCTTACCTGCAAAATAGTGCATTGCCTCCTGAAGCACTTGAGCAGCAGATAACACTTCAATCGTATAGACTGAATCACACCGAGGATGCAAACAAACACAAAACTTCCAAGATTCAACAGAATCTTGTTGCTCTCGGTCATCCCAAAAACCCACAGCCTTGTGATTTACTTTACCACTCTGTTTTCCTTGCACAGCTGAATCATGTTTCATAACCATCTTTTGCACCATTAGATTATCAACTAGAGTTGTTCTCCCAACATCTTCCTGTCGACTCCAAGACCCGAAAGCATATGCACTCTTCTACGTACTCTTCCTTAACGTTTAGAGACCATACTCACAGGAAGAAACAAATGGGTTTGGACCTATAAACTTAAACATAGGAAACATTAAACATTTAACAAAACCATCAGTGTACACTAACCAACAGAGCCTTGAATCCGAATGAGTCATCTGTCTTTACTTAAAGACTTGAGTTCAATACAAACTATCAATTATCTCCCTTTTTATTTAGAATCAGTTAGTCATCAGTTTACATGAACATGCTTTAGGGACCCAGAGAGATAATCAATATGTGAGGACTCATAAATATTAACATTAAATTTTCAAATATGTATCTTGAGACTCATTCTTCTGTGTTCTGTGCCAACCACATGTTCAGGAAAAAGCTAAAAAACTACTATAACCTTCCGAATCTTCGACATATCAGGTTTGAGTTCAGCGGCTAGACTTTCACACAGTAGTCATGCCTTCAACCTAAGTAGTTCAAACAAAACTTGAACAGACAGCTGGAATATCCTTTGGAGAGTATAGTATCAGGATTGTGTTAAACCTCTTTTTCTATTTTCATTTTTATTTATTTATATTATCATTATTATTATTTTTTTTTTCTCTTTTTTGTTTAACACACTACCTGTGAAGCTTCGATTTATAATAGTCAAGCAGAGTCTTCTCTCAGAGTGTTGACTTTTGACCAAGCTTCTATTAAACTTTTGATTTGTGGATCAGTGATATCGTTTGACTTCTCAACTACTGGTCCTTGTGCATGTCTTCATTAGTGAATTCAGATCTCTATCAAGTGTGTACTGGATTGGATTTTGATGTCATCACAATTTTGATTACTCATTAAAACATGCACACTTCCACCTCTCCTCAGCTCTTTGACCTTCGTTATCATGACAACATTTTACAGGAATGACTATAAGGATCGGCATGACATGCATCTATATTTCACACACTTTAAACCGGAACACATGCATATGGTTCTGATCTTCTATACATCCTTAGGATTTCTAACTTCTGTCCATGTCTTAATTAGATCAGCACAACTCTCTATAAAATTAGATCTTACAAATCCAAATGAATTTTGTTAGATTCACAAATCTGTTGAAATCCACATGTTTAGTAAGCAAATCAGCCAGTTTACTCACATGATCAACCACAATCAATTTCGCCTCAAGAAGTTCACGAATAAAATGTCTAATATCAATATACTTAATACGTGATTGTTGAACATGATTCTTAGCAATGTGGATTGTAAACTGGTTGTCACAATGAATTAAA